CCCATCCCACCCCATCCCACCCCATCCCATCCCATCCCAATCCCATCCATCCCACCCCATCCCACTGATCCTGTTGATCCCATCAATCCTGTTGATCCCATTGATCCCGTTGATATGATTGATCCAACCCCATTGATCCCATTGATTCAATCCCATTGATCCTGTTGACCCTATTGATTCCATCCCATTGATCCCATTGATAGCATCCCATTGATCCCATCGATCCTGTTGATGTTATTGACCCAATCCCATTGATCCCATTGATCCAATCCCATTGATCCCATTGATCCAATCCCATTGATTCCATTGATCCAATGCCATTGATCCCATCGATCCTGTTGATTTTATTGATCCAATTCCATTGATCCCATCGATCCTGTTGATGTTATTGATCCAATTCCATTGATCCCATCGATCCCATCCCATCCCATTGAGCCCATTGATCCCATCCCCCATCAATTCTGTTGATGTTATTGATCCAATCCTATTGATCCCATCGATCCCATCCCATTGATCCCATTGATCCCATCCCCCATCAATCCTGTTGATGTTATTGATCCAATCCCATTGATCCCATTGATCCCATTGATCCCATTGATCCAATCCCATTGATCCCATCGATCCCATCCCATCCCACTGATCCCATCGATCCTGTTGATATTATTGATGCAACCCCATTGAACCCATTGATTCAATCCCATTGATCCCATTGATCCTGTTGATCCCATTGATTCCATTGATCCAATCCCTTTGATCCCATTGATCCAATCCCATTGATCCCATCGATCCTGTTGATATTATTGATCCAACCCCATTGATCCAATCCCATTGATCCCATCCCATTGATCCAATCCCATTGATCCCATTGATCCCATCCCATCCCATTGATCCCATTGATCCCATCCCCCATCAATCCTGTTGATGTTATTGATGCAATCCCATTGATCCCATTGATCCCATCGATCCCGTTGATGTTATTGATCCAATCCCATTGATCCCATCAATCCTGTTGATGTTATTGATGCAATCCCATTGATCCCATCCCATTGATCCCATCGATCCTGTTGATGTTATTGATCCCATCCCATTGATCCCATTGATCCTGTTGATGTTATTGATCCAATCCCATCGATCCCATTGATCCCATCGATCCCATCCCACCCCATGGGATGCCGGTCCGGGGGTCTCGTGCCCCCAGCCCCCCGTGCTGCCCCCCCAGGCTGTCCTGTGCCCTCGGGGGCACTTCAGGACACGGCATCGATCTCCGGGTTCTGTTCTGGGGGGACCAAACTCTGCTCTGGCCCTGGCAGGGGACTGTAATCCCAGGAATAAAAATTCCTGGGAAGCCACTGGGAGCTGATCCCCCACTCCCGGTGCCAGGGCTCCAGAAATGCTGGAGCTTTGATTTGGGGTGGGGATTCTGCCCCAAACCAACCCCCGCGAGGGTGGGACGGAAATCTGGGATTGAGGAATTCCACCTTGGCCACGTGGCCCAGGGCCAGCTGCTGCTCCCGGCATCTGACTGGGGAAAACATGGCAAAACCAGGGAAAAATGTTCCTTTGTAGTGGTTCAAAGGAGTTAAACTGCCAGGAAACCTGTGGCCAAACTGGTTTGGGGTTTTCCCTGGCTCCCAGCAGTTTTGGGGTCCCTCCTCGGAGCATTTCATCTCTGATGGAGTGATATTATTATCATTATAATTTTGTTGTTTTGTATTGTTATCACCATCTTCATCGTCATAATAATAATATTATAATAATTATTGTTATTAATAATAATAATAATTATTATTATTATTATTATTATTATTATTATTATTATTATTATTATTATTATTATTATTATTATTATTATATTAATATTATTCCCTGGGTTTTGGGGGTCGGGGTGCTGGCACCCCATGGCCACACACCTGACTCAACAATTTTCCTTAATTATGTCACCCCCCACCCCCCAAACTCCCCTTTTTTTCCTGGGCTGCCCTTTTTGCCCAGGTTTGGAAGATTTTGGGGCAGTAAATGAGTTTGCCCAGATTTTCCTTTTGGATTTGGCTGCCCCAGCCTCCTCGTGGGGCTTTCCAGATGTGGCCCTTGTTGGAGGCGGGAGGATTTGGGGTATTTTTGGGGGTGACAGCTCATCCCCTGCCTCAGCTTCTCCATCTGTGAATGCCAAGAAACATTTCAAGATGTCAAATTGAGAGGGAAGGAAGGATTCGGGGGGAAATATTCCCTCCAGGATAACAGCACTGAGGAGTTTGTGTGAAACCCTGCTCGGCTTTAACTCATCCTTGGGGTTTCTCACCTGGGCAAACTCATTTTCCACCCATTTTGGATCCATCTCTGCCTCATCAACAGTTAATTAACATGGAAATTAAATCCACATGGAGACTGGCAGCATCCTAAATATCCTTCTCTCACCTTTTTTTCCTGCTTTCTTTATTTTTTTATAATTTTATTATTATTTAATGCATTTTATGCCTTCCCTCCATCTGCTGCTCCGTGGCTGCTCCTCCCTGCCTGCCCTCACCACCATCTGCATAAATTATTTGTCACGTTAAATGCCAAAAAATACCCCAAAAAGTGTGAAAAACGGGATCTGTGATAGGGAAAGGATCCGGAGCTGGATGCCCACCTGCATCCAGCCTGGGATCACAAATGTCTGGTTAATTGGCTCATTAATTAGCTGTTCCCCACCCCCTTCCCTCTCGGGTTATTTGTGTCTCCTCCCAAAAGGGAGGGAAATCGCAGGATTTTGGGGCTCCTGTGCCCTGCCCAGCCTTTTTTTCTGCTGAATAAATCCAGTTTGGCTGCTTGGCTCCCCCAAAACCCCGCACATCCACAGCCTGTCCCCTTTCTCCATCTTTGGGGGGCAGGGGGGATCCTGGGGCTCCTAGGTTTTTGGGGAGCGTGGGAGCAGCCAGAGCTCAGCACGGGAACAACTCCAGTGTTTTGTGTCCCTCCAGGCCAAATCCAGGCACCCCAAAACTCGGAGGAGCCCCAAAACCAGGAGTGACAAAACCCTGAGAGCTGGAGCACGGAGACCCCAAAACCAGAGACCCGGAGCCCAGAGAACCAGAGTCCAGACACCCCAAAACCCAGAGAACCGGAGCCCAGAGACCCCAAAACCTTCAGAGCTATAACCCAGACACCCCAAAACCCAGAGAACCGGAGCCCAGAGACCCCAGAACCTCCAAAACCCAGAGAGCCGGAGTCCAGACACCCCAAAACCTGCAGAGCTCTAACCCAGACACCCCAAAACCCAGAGAGCCGGAGCCCAGAGACCCCAAAACCCAGAGAGCCAGAGCCCAGAGACCCCAAAACCTGCGGAGCCAGAGCCCAGACACCCCAAAACCTGCGGAGCCAGAGCCCAGACACCCTAAAACCCAGAGGACCGGAGCCCAGAGACCCCAAAACCTGCGGAGCTATAACCCAGAAACACCAAAACCTGGAGAGCTGGAGCCCAGAGACCCCCAACCCAGAGAACCAGAGCCCAGAGACCCCAAAACCTGCAGAGCCGGAGCCCAGAGACCCCAAAACCTGCAGAGCCGGAGCCCAGAATTCCTGAGAGCCGCAGCCAGGACAGCAGAGCCGGAGCCCTGAAGTCTGGGAGCCCCAAAACCCAGAGAGATCCCAGAACCCCGGGAGCCCCCAGCCCGTCTGGGGGGGCAGGACCCACATCCAGCCCCGAGTGCAGCCAGGAGGGACCCTCAGCCCAGAACGAGCAGTGGGTGAGTACCTGGGACCCCCAAAATCCATGGATTCCCTTCCTTTCCCCATTCCCCCTCTGCCCTTCCCTGTCTGGCAGCTGTGGGGGCTGGGGATGGTCCCGCCTGGCTGAGGAAGGAGCAGAAACTTTCCCACCTTTCCCAGCCTGGGTGGAGGAAGGAGCTCCCACAGCATTTTGGGGTGTCACTGGGGTTCCCCGGCTCCCTGGCAGCTCTCTGGGGCAGGTGAACCCACCCGGGGGATGAATCCTGAGCCCCCAGGAAGCACCAGGGGCTTGGGAGGGCAGCCAGGTGCCACCTGGAGATTTGGGGAGCCTTTCTGGGCTCCAGAGAGGGGCCCTCACCTGGCCCATGCCTGGTTTTAGGGTCTCAGAGGGGCTGCGAGGGTGTGAGAGGACCCCCAGGCCCCCGCCCCGCTGGTGACAGCCCCTCCTTGTCCCCCTGGCAGCATGTGGCAGGGGTGAGCTCCCCACCGCGCCAGCACCATGGAGCCGTGCCCGGGGCAGCCCCAGGAGGCCCTGCTGACGGTCAACGAGCAGGTACGGACCCGAAACCGGCTGGGGGGACCTGAAACCGGGCTGGGGGGGACCCCAGAACCGGGCTGGGGGGGACCCCGAAACCCACCTATGGTGGGACCCCGAAACCGGGCTGGGAGTGGGACCCCAAAACCGGGCTGGGGTGGGACCCCAAAACAGGGCTGTGAGTGGGTCCCTCATCCCAAAACCAGGCTGGGAGTGGGACCCCAAAAATGGGCCGGGGGTGGGATCCCAAAACCAGACTGGGAGTGGGACCCCCACCCCAAAACAGGGCTGTGGGTTGGGACCCCAAAACCCAGCTGGGAGTGGGTCCCTCATCTTAAAACCAGGCTGTGAGTTGGGACCCCAAAACCGGGCTGGGGTGGGACCCCAAAACCGGGCTGGGAGTGGGACCCCGAAACTGGGCTGGGAGTGGGACCCCCACCCCAAAACCGGGCTGGGGTGGGACCCCCCTGTGTGCCGTGGGATGGGCTGGAACACCTGCAGGAGATTTGAGGGGCTCACCTGGCCCTGCCCACAGCTGTGGGGCTGGAGGGGACACTGCAGGTGTGGGGTGCTGTGGATGTGGGGGTGCTGCAGGTGTGGGGTGCTGTGG